ATGATGATAGTGTTGATGGTAAAGATTATGGATGATGGTGATAGATTGTGATTCATGTTAAAGGCAATAAAGTTAATGATGATGGTATTGATGTTAATCACTGATAATGATAATGATGATAATGATTTTCAGAACAAAAGTTATGATAACTGCAATAATGACGATGAAAGTAATGATTGTTGTGATTTTAATGATAGATTTGTCATATGAGGATGATATGAAGAGTAATGATAATAACAACTATATTCCAGAATTAAATATTACACCGAAATGGCAATGGTAGAAGTATCTGTTATGGTGATAGCACTACCATTACTGTCGCCTATCTCTCTCTCTCTCTCTCTCTCTCTCTCTCTCTCTCTCTCTCTCTCTCTCTCTCTCTCTCTCTCTCTCTCTCTCTCTCTCTCTCCATTCTTTGTTCCCTTCCACACTCCCTTCGTTCCCCCATTCCTTCCCTACCTCCTTCTTTCCCTCCTTTCTTCCCTCCTTCTCTCCTACTTTCCCTCCCTCCCTCCTTTCTCTCATCCCTCCTTCCCTCCCTCCTTCCTATCCACACTCCCTTTGTCTCTGCCTCCTTCCCTCCTTCCCTCCCTCCCTCCCTCCCTCCTTCCCTCCCTCCTTCCCTCCTTCCCTCCCTCCTTCCCTCCCTCCTTCCCTCTTTCCCTCCTTCCTTCCTTCCCTTCACCACTCACACCCATTTTCTCCCCTTCTCCTTTAACACAGAAACTCCGCACCCTCGTCTTCGGTTCATCCAGCATGGTCGGTTCCGTGGAAACCGAGTGGACCAACCAGTCCTTCGGCTTCCAGCCTTACGACACGGCGATGGGCTACGGCCTGAGAGTGACCAAGAACGCAACCAAAGGCCTGGTTATGTGCATGCAGGGTTTCGTTCTCAAGCATCTTCTCTTCGCCAAGACTAAGGGGAAGTCCAGCGTTGAACCTAAAGCGTGAGTGTGTTTTTTGTTTTTGTTTTTGTTTTTTTTTACTGCGATTTATTCTGGTGGTGATAATGATAATAATATCTATGATGATGATAAAGATGATGATGAGGAGGAGAATGATGATAATGATAATGATAATGATAATGATAATGATGATAATAATGATAATAATAGTAATGATACCGTTGTTATTGTTATTACTGTTGTTATTATTATTACTACACTATCCTTACTATAATCACCATTATTATCACTGTCATCGACATTATTATATTAACTATTGCTATTGTTAATATTATTATTACGAAATCCTTTTGCGAGGTTCGTGTGGTTTAAGAAATTGAGACCAATATTTTCAACAAGCAATTGTTTTAAAATGCTTTCTCGTTGATTCGAAGGTTGCAGTTCCAATAAAAGTTATATAATCTAATTAGTTCTCTGCCCATTCCCAGTAATGGTCTATTATATATCGGAATCTATAATGCAGTATCTTACTTTCTAAACTAATTTCACTTTCAATTTGCACTTTCTGAAGGTCACTTGACAGATAAAATACTAATAATATTATGAACCTGCCCTTGTCCATTCAATACACGAAGAAAACGTATCACAGAAATGGCTTTGGATTTTTATTGGGGTAACTTAGGTAACTTAGACACAACCCTTAATTTCACCGTGACACGATAAAATTCATTAAGACAAACTGATGTAAAAGAAGTAATTATCTCATATATGTTTTTTTTTTTTTTTTTTTTTTTTTTTTTTTTTTTTTGTTTTTTTTTTTTTTTTTTTTTTTACTGCGATTTATTCTGGTGGTGATAATGATAATAATATCTATGATGATGATAAAGATGATGATGAGGAGGAGAATAATGATAATGATAATGATAATGATAACGATGATAATAGTGATAATAATAGTAATAATAGTAATGATACCGTTGTTATTATTATTTCTGTTGTTATTAATATTACTACACTATCCTTACTATAATCACCATTATTATCACTGTCATCGACATAATTATATTAACTATTGCTATTGTTAATATTATTATTACGAAATCCTTTTGCGAGGTTCGTGTGGTTTAAGAAATTGAGACACAATATTTTCAACAAAGCAATTGTTCTAAAATGCTTTCTCGTTGATTCGAAGGTTGCAGTTCCAATAAAAGTTATATAATCTAATTAGTTCTCTGCCCATTCCCAGTAATGGTCTATTATATATCGGAATCTATAATGCAGTATCTTACTTTCTAAACTAATTTCACTTTCAATTTGCACTTTCTGAAGGTCACTTGACAGATAAAATACTAATAATATTATGAACCTGCCCTTGTCCATTCAATACACGAAGAAAACGTATCACAGAAATGGCTTTGGATTTTTATTGGGGTAACTTAGGTAACTTAGACACAACCCTTAATTTCACCGTGACACGATAAAATTCATTAAGACAAACTGATGTAAAAGAAGTAATTATCTCATATATGTTTGTTTTTTTTTTTTTTTTTTTTTTTTTTTTACAGTCTTCCTCGCACACGATTAAGTATATGTATTTTCAAATATCGTCACGCTAACTTAACATAAACGTCACATAACGTTATTTTAGGGATAGCGTGGTTCATAATCCTTTGGAAAAATGTGTTATTCGTTCTCTACCTCTTTCATTTTTTTTCATTTTGTATTCTGGATTCGAAAGATTATGAGATTATTTATGGGCGTAACTGTGACGTTTTTGCCTTTGTGTGTATATGACAAATATATCTTCTTTATCATTTCTCAGTGAAATGTTTCAGATTCTTCCGTGAACTATTTAGAAAAAAGGCGTTTATAATTCTGAGAAGAAGTAAGACTTAAGAAGACATTTTTTTTCTGTAAAATTTCTAGAAGTGATAAAACTAAGACCGTTTTCTAGAGGCAAAAGTTCCTAATTATTTCCCTCATTAATAATTATTCTGATAAAAAGTTAGGTAGAAAGAGAAAGCGATAGATGATATAATGAGATATAATGAGAAAACTAATAGCCTTCCTGCTTAGAAGTTTAGAAATGCCAGAAATAAGTTATTTCCCTAAACAACCATTTTTAAAAAATCCAACTTTACAGGAAGTCAATACAAACAAAAATAAAACCAAAACATTTCATAGAATTCCAGAAGGAAAAAAAACAACAACAACACAACAAAGATATTTACCGAATATCTAAATTCTTTCCGCTTTCCAGGTCACATGTCCACGATCTGACCTGTCTGCTTTGTGCCTTTGTGTGGATTACTAGGAAGAAAAATTATTATAATGAAAAAAAAAATCCTTCTTCGTTTTCGTGTTACATTGTTTCACTTCTTACTTGCCTTTTTGACAAGCTACGTGTTTGCTAATGCTTCCCGTGGACTGTTTTGCTATGCATTCCGTTTTTTTTTTGTTTTGTTTTTTTTCAACTGCGCATTCGTGTTTAAAAATCTTGCTCTATATTTCTCTTTCATTCATTCTCTGTCTATCTAGGGATATGGCTATCTATTTGTCTATCTGTCCATTCATCTATCTATCTATCTATCTCTATCCATCCATCTATCTATCTGTCTGTTATTCTATCTATCTATTTCTATCCATCCAACTATCTATTTCTATCCATCCATCTGTCTATCTATCTCTATCCATCCATCTATTTATCTGTCTACCTATCTATCTATCAATTTATCCATCCATTCATCCATCTCTCTACCTATCTATCTATCCCTCCATCTCCCATCCCTCCCTCCCTCCCTTCCTCCCTCCCACCTTCCCTCCTCTCCCTTATCCCTCCATACATTCCTTTCTTCATCCACCTTTCCTCCTTCCTCCAGGCTGCTGAAGGCGAGCATGCGCGCTCAGGAAGACTCGCTCGTGGATGCAATTGCAGATATCATTTGGCAAGTCGGCGACAAGACCTCTGCCACACTCTGCCTTACCCAGGACGTAGCTTATGCCAGAGACGATGAGAGTTATCAGTGTGATGGATGTACAGAGAAGGCGAGTGAATAGTTTTTTGACTTTCGTGTTTTCGCTTATATATTTTTTTCCTTTTCTTTTTTTTTTCTTTTCTTTTTTTTTTGGGGGGGGGGGGTATTTTCTTGTTCTCTCCTTCTCTGTCTCTGTTTCTGTTTCTGGTTGTTATTTGTTTCTGTCTGTTTATTTTTCTTTTTATTTGTTTATTTCTCTCTTTCTTTCTCTCTCTCTCTCGCTATCTATCTATCTGTCTATCCATACCTTTATCAATCTCTCTCCTTCTTCCTCTCTCTCTCTCTATCTGTCTATCTCTCTATCTATCTATCTATCTTTCCATCTATCTATCAATCGATCTATTTGTTTATCTATCTATTTCTCTCTCTCTCTCTCTCTCTCTCTCTCTCTCTCTCTCTCTCTCTCTCTCTCTCTCTCTCTCTCTCTCTCTCTCTCTCTCTCTCTCTCTCTCTCTCTCCATAAGAAGTTTAAATTTATTCTTGATTAATATCCTGCACATGAAGGATAATTGAATTTTCCCTGTTTCATATTTTTATGTTCATTTAAATTGTTTATTTTATTTCTTTTTGTTCGTTTCTTATGTGATAACATGTTACTATTCTTCTCAAACTGTTGTAATGAAAAATAGAGTAATTATGTATACAATAAATAAAGAACATTTTGTTTCATAATTCGTATCAATCAAAGAAATAGCAACTGAATAATTACAGAAAAAAAAAAAAAGTATTCAGGTCAGGTATTATAATAATAATCAATAAATGTAAAAAAAAAAAAAAAAAAAAAAAAAAAAAAAAAAAAAAAAAAAAAAAAAATCTAATCAAAATAAACCTTTTTTCAGATCCACTTTTTCGAATTTGATAAACTGGATGATCTTAGACTTACCGTAAAGAGGCATTTGTTCGAGGTAAGTTTATCCTTGTTAAGTTTAGACGATAGAATTGAACATAAAATGAAATATAGAATTATAACATTTATAGACATGGTCCCTGGGACTTTTGTATCGTTACAGTCACTGCTATAACAAATATTGATATTATCTTTGAGTCTTAAAACCTCATTACTTACACGAACGATTCCTTAGAGGTGCAAATACTTCTAAAACAAATATTGCTTTTGTGTAACTGTTTATCCATGTAATATCCCCTTAATAACCTTTAGTTTATATCTTTTAGTAATGTTCATCAACCTTTTTCCTCTTTTTAACCCACAGTTCATGTCCAACAATCGATCTGGCCTTCTGTTGTTCGTGTACAGTCTTATAATGACCCGAACTTTCAAAAGGTGAGATTTGGTAGAAAATACATATCTATATGTATCATATAATATATATTAATGTATATATACATATATATATGTATATATATATATATATATATATATATATATATATATATATATATATATATATATATATATATATATATACATATATATATATATATATATATATATATATATATACATATATATATATATATATATATATATATATATATATATATATATATATATATATAAATTTCTGTTTATTCATCTATTTCTTTATCTAGCATACTGTCTATGTACTGTATATATCTACGTAATTATCTTTCGCTGTCTTTTTTTCTAGATATCTGTCCATCTAAATATATATCTCATTGTCTTTGTATCTGGATATTTACTATTTTCTTCATTTTTATCTATCTATTGCGATCAGTATCTGTCTATCGTGCAGTCTCTCTTTTTATCCATCCATTTGTATTTTAAACAAACATATCTAATTCGTCTTGTTAATTTTTGTTCATTATATTCACAATGACTCATCATCTTCATGCTGATTTCGTTGTCATGATATCTATTCATCTTCATACTAATCTAGTATCTTCACATTTATTCATTATCTTTAGATTTATTACTTATGTTTAGACTTATTATTTATATTTACACTTATTAATTACCATTAGACTTATTCATTATCTTTAACATATTTATTCATCATCATATTTATTAAGTTTTTCGTAACTCCTTATCATCTCCCTTATTCATCATTTTCATACTTACTCATCATCCTCATCTCGGCACACATTCCTCATTCTTATAAATCAACTTTATTCTATTTCCGCCTTATTATTGTCGTTCACTAACCTCCTCTTTTACTAACCATCCCCTTTATATTCATATTTATTCCCCATTATCTTCATTCTTCCCTCATTCGCCATCCTCATCCCAGAAACACATTCTTTATTCGTCAACATCATTATATTTTTTTTTTCCATTCGTTATCTCCGTTCTTTCTCCTCCTCCTTTTCTCTAATTACCTTTCTCTTTCCCCCATTCGTCATCCTCATTCCTTATCTTTATTCATTATCTCCATTCTATCCCCTCTTCGTTATCCTCATTCTCTCTCTTCCTCCTTTTTCTAATCATGCTTCTCATTCCTCCATTCATCATCCTCTTCCCACCTTTTCTCATCCTCCTTTATCTCCCTCATCTTCGTCATTCTCTCTCCTCCTCCTCCTCTTCCTCCTCCTCCCCTTTATCTAAAAATCCTTCTCATTCCTCTATTCATCATCCTCTTTCCAAACACACCCTCCTCACACTCATCCATCTCCGTCATCATCGTCATTCTCTCTCTCTCCTCCTCCTCCTTCTCCCTTTAATCTAAAAAATCCTTCTCCCTTCCCCTATTCACCATCCCCTTTCCACACACACCCTTCCTCATCCTCATTCATCTTCCTAATCCTCCTCCTCCTCCTCCTCCTCCTCCTCCTCCCCTTTATCTAAAAATCCTTCTCCCTTCCCCTATTCATCATCCTCTTTCCACACACACCTTTCCTCACCCTCATTCATCTCCGTCATCATCCTCATTCTCTCTCTCTCTCTCTCTCTCTCCTCTCTCTCTCTCTCCTTCTCTCTCTCCTTCTCTCTCTTTCTCTCTCTCTCTTTCTCTCTCTCTCTTTCTCTCTCTCTCTTTCTCTCTCTCTCTCTCTCTCTCTCTCTCTCTCTCTCTCTCTCTCTCTCTCTCTCTCTCTCCTCCTCCTCCTCCTCCTCCTCCTCCTCCTCCTCCTCCTCCCTTTAATCTAAAAAATCCTCCTCCCTTCCCCACTCTGACCACCAGGGTGATGGAGGACGCAGCGGACGTGAAGGAGAGTCTGATTCAACCCAACGGACACATCCACCCCATCCTCGCCTCGCTCATCCTCACTGGCAGAGCAACGCCTTATCTGCATAATGGAATTATTTACGAGGGAAACGAGGAGACGATGGTAGGTGTTGGGTTGAGTGGGAGGGTGGAGAGGTGGAGGGAGGGAAGGAGAGGGGGGGAGAGGGAAGGAGAGGGGTGGAGGGGTAGGAGGGAGGGAGAGGGGGTAGGAGGGAAGGAGAGGGGTGGAGGGAGAGGGAAAGAGGGAAAGGGGATAGAGGGGGGATAGAGGGGGGAGGAGGAAGGATGGAGGGGATGAGGAAGATAAGGAAATGAGTGAGAGAGAGAGAGAGAGAGAGAGAGCGAGAGAGAGAGAGAGAGAGAGAGAGAGAGAGAGAGAGAGAGAGAGAGAGAGAGAGAGAGAGAGAGAGAGAGAAAGACAGACAAACAGAGAGACAGACAGAGACAGAGAGGGGTGGGGGCAGTGATGAGAAAGAAAAGAAAAAACAAAAGAAAAAGAAATGGATGAACACTAAAGAGAGAGAGAGAGAAAGGGAGTTTAAACAAACATGCAATGGGAAAACACAAAAGAGAGTGAAAAGCATAAAAGAAAAAAGAAAAGAGTTCCTTATGTCTGAAGAAAGGAAGAATTATCCTTCAAAGTTAATTAGTTAGTTAAAAAAAAAAAATCAGAAAACAAATTTGCTTAATCCTAGAGCTATACAGCCCGAGTTTTAAGACACCATCTAATCTCAAAGACTTCTCATCCATGCCAGAATTCTACCTTTAAACAAAGTAATCCCAGCAATCTCTCCCCAACCCACACATAGATCACATACATCATATACATCACACCCTACTCTCTATCTCACTCGCTATAGCCACACACACCTAACCTTCTGCAACCTGCAACCTCTCTCTCTCTCTCTCTCTCTATCTATCTATCTATCTATCTATCTATCTATCTATCTATCTATCTATCTATCTATCTATCTCTCTAAGTCTCTCTCTCTCTCTCTCTCTCTCTCTCTCTCTCTCTCTCTCTCTCTCTCTCTCTCTCTCTCTCTCTCTCTCTCTCTCTCTCTCTCTCTCTCTGCTTATACCCTCTACGTCCTCCCACAGTCAAAACCCAAGACGGGCGTGCTGAAGCGGGCCGAAGTAGGTCACCTGGTGTGTCAAAGGTCAGAGAACAAATTCCCCGTGGCGGTGGGGTCGCGCCTCAAGACCCCCACTCTCCCTATATGGGTTGTGCGCAGTGATGATTCCTATGGGGTCCTTTTCAACCCCAATCGAGAGCTGCTGAGGGACTACCATGCTGAGAACAGGTGAGTGGGTTATGGTGGAATTATGGTAGAGGAAAGTTATTTCTCGCCTGTATGTTAGAATTATTATGGTAAATGAAAGTTATTTCTCATAATAAAACTATTATGGTAGATGATGGTCGATGAGAGTTATTTCTCATAATAAAACCATTAAGGTGGATGGAAGTTATATCTCGTCTGTATATTAGAACTATTATGGTAGATGGAAGTTATTTCTAATCTGTATATTAAAACTATCATGGTAGATGAAAGTTATTTCTAATCTGTATATTAAAACTATTGTGGTAGGTAAAAGTCATTTCTCATCTGTATATTAAAACTATTATGCTGAGAACAGGTGAGTGGGCTTGGGATCGTTACGGGGAGGGGGGGGGGTATGGTATATTCTGTAATTCTTAGTTACCATCTGTATATGAAAATTATTATGCTTAGAGCAGGTGAGTTAGGTGGGGTAGTTACGGTGTGTGTGTGTGGGGGGGGGATTCTGTAATTCTGAATATATATATATATTTTTTTTACCAGGTTTTCAATCAGCCAAACTTCCCTCCTCTTTAAGCTTGTAATCCACCCCCAAACTTCCCTTTCAGATTCGACCTTTACTATTATTCTTCGTCCAGCAACCAGAACAAATCGACCATCGTGACTATCGACACCCGCAACGCGAGCAATAATGATGATTATAGCACACCTGTTCTCGAGAACATTATTCACACCAAGTAAGTGTTTTTTGTGTTTCAGTTGTTCTTATTGTTATTGTTGTTTTTCTTCGTTTTATTCTACCTTTTCTTTTTCTTTTTTTGTTATTCTCTCTCTCTCCCTCTCTCTCTCTCTCTCTCTCTCTCTCTCTCTCTCTCTCTCTCTCTCTCTCTCTCTCTCTCTCTCTCTCTCTCTCTCTCTCATCTCTGTTTTCGCTTTTCATATTTTAGAGAAATATTTCTTGAGATATTTTCTATTTCTTGTAAATGTACATTCAATGAGTTATTACAACTAAATTTCACTTTCCTCAGGTGGAATGATGCTGAAGTGACTTGGAACGGATGCTCACCTTACATGTAAGGTCCCCCCCCCCCGCCCCCTCACCCCCCACACACCCGTCTTTCGTCATCCCCCCCCGCCCACTCAATTTTTTTTTTCTTTCATACTTATCAACATCTGTCAGACTCTCTCTCACATTTCCTTTTCAGAACTGTGTTTAAGGGTCATTTTCCAATACGTTGTAGCAAGCATATAATCTAAACATCTCTTTACAAGTTAAGCACGTCAAGATTTTTTTTTTTCTTTTTTTTTTGTCAGAAAGCTATCTTTTTAGTTCCTGGGATATGGAAAGTATAGGAATGCAGTATAGATATGTGATAGACCAGCATTCAAGTATAATTCTTAGGTAAAAAAATAACATTATAACATACTAGGGTGCTATGCAGCGTTACATACTTACGTGAATATATATGATTATACACATATATGACACGTAGTCACTTGCATAAATGTAACAATAATATTCCATTGCTATGAATGCTCAGAAGAAAAAGTATTATATCATACGTAAAGCTGAAGAAACAATGGCATATATATATATATATATATCAAAAGAGAAAGATAAGATATCACAGAGGATCCTATTTTATAGTTAGGAAAATATATTATATAAAGGAAGAATATATACAAGCAGTATTATACTAGTATTATTTTACTGTGATAAGATCACGAGGTTTAGTTGAATAAAGGAAAGAGGACTCATCAGTATTTCATTTGCCTTATATGCACGTGCTTATGGTCAGACACACACACACGCACGCATGTACACACACACAAACACACACATACACACACACAAACACACACATACACACACACACACACACGCACACACACACACACACACGCACACACACACACACACACAAACACATACACACGCACACACACACGCACGCACGCACACACACACACACACACACACACACACAAACACACATAGACACTCACACACACACACACACACACACACACACACACACACACACACACACACACATATATATATATATATATATATATATATATATATATATATATATATATATACATATATATATATATATATATGTATATATATATATATATATATATATATATATATATATATATATATATATATATATATATATACATATATATATATATATATATATATACATATATATATATATATATATATATATATATATATATATATATATATATATACATATACATCATTATTATATGTGTATATTATTATCATTCTTATTTTTACTATTTTTTCATTATCATCGTTATCATTATCATCATTATTGTTGTTATCATTATCATTGTCATTTTATAAATATTGCTATTATTATCATAATTATATGATATCATATAATCATATGATAAATATTATTATTATCATTGTTATCATCATTATCATTATTATTGTACTATCATTATCATTATCATTATTATCATTAATATTATTATTGTCATTACTACTACTGCTATTAATATCCTTTTTAATATTGACACCATTATTATTGGTGTCATTATAATTATTACTACAATCACTATTGCACACTATTATTATTGTTGTCATTACTACTACTGCTATTAATATTATGGTTAATATTATCACCACTATTATTGTTATCATTTTAATTATTATTATCTTTTTTATTATACTGTCAGTATCGTTATCATTATTATCATTGCCATCATTATTGTTATTACAACTACTACTATTATTATCATTGTTATCATTATCATCACTATTAATGTTATCATTATGATCATTATCATCGTTTTTGTTATATTATCATTATCATTATCATCATTGCCATAATGATTGTCATCATTATTATTATTATTATCATACTATCATTATCGCTATCATTATTATCATTGCCATTATTGTAATTACAACTACTACTATTATTATCATTGTTATTATTATCATCATTATTATTAACATTATAATCATTATCATCGTTTTTGTTATATTATCATTATCATTATCATCATTGCCATCATTATTGTCATTATAACTACTACTATTATTATCATTATTATCATCATTATCACTATTACTATTATCATCATTACGATTATGATTGCTACTGTTATCATTATTAACATCATTATTGATATTATCATTATCATAATCATAATCATAAACATTATTGCTTTTCTTTATTACTATCATTTTTAATATTGTTATTATTATCATTATCTTTGTCATCATTATTACCATTATCGTTATTATTAGCTTTATCATTAGCATCATCATTATCATTCTTGTAATTATTATCATTACCATTATTATCATTATAATTATATAAATAAACGCACACACACTCTCACATACACACACACACACACACACACACACACACACACACACACACACACACACACACACACACACACACATATATATATATACATACATACATGTACATTTTCGAATATAGTATTTTCTTATCTAAATTGTTAATATTTCGGGAAACATTCACAAGTAAGGGAGATTTTACTAAAACAATGCAAAACAGCTGACCATTTTTATTACACACAGCTGTAGTACACTTTTGTCTGTACATACATAAATTTGTTTGTATAATCATTACACTACATTGAGTAGATATTCATATATATATATATCTATTCATATACTCTTATGTGATTAAAAATAGAATATTCACAACAACCGTCAACTGGTCACGTAAACAGATTTACTGTAGCAATGCATTTTTTTTTTTTTCAGTTCAGCAGAAACACGATTTTCACCTGACGATTATGGACGGATTAAAATAGCATGGATTTTTCTTTCTTTCTTTTTTTCATAATTTATCAGCTTCAGATCTGGTGGTTATTGATATTATTTATATTTTTGCTTTTACACTTTCTCGATGGTAAGTGGCACGAATAAATATGAGATGAGGTGTTGTTTTTAAGAGTGTGCGTTTGTGTGTGTGTGTATGTGTGTGTGTGTGCGTGTGTGTGTGTGTGTGTGTGTGTGTGTGTGTGTGTGTGTGTGTGTGTGTGTGTGTGTGTGTGTGTGTGTGTGTGTGTGTGTGTGTGTGTGTGTGTGTGTGTGTGTGTGTGTGTGTTTAGGTACGGGTGTGTGTGGGTGTGTGTGTGTGTGCAACAAAAAATTCGAGAAAGTGAAGCCATTTTTCTTTTAAAGGAACGTCTAACATTTTTCCTTTTCTCTCTCTCTTCAACCTCTTCTTCTTTCCCTCTTTCATCGTTAGTATTTCTCTCTCTCTCTTTCTTTTCCTTGACAACTTGAATTGGCGCCTCACAATATGACACCAATACCTCCTTTGCTATGTACAGTAACACTTCACAATCTCATACCAAATACAATAGCCATGCAATATGCACGGTATTCACACATATCAAGTGCAACAAACTAGCGTAGGCCACTGTCAGAATCTCGCCTTGTATCTTATACGAAAATCAGTATTGTTGAGCATTATGCAAAACTGTATATTCAAACATTCATTGAAATGTCATAAAAGTAAAGTAAATAACATTCAAGCACATTCATAATGATGATTACATATTAATTAATTGTTTACACGTCTACTGAATATTGAATGATAATATCAACGCAATATGACTTATTCAATATAAGCTACAGTACCGTAATATTCCATGATGCTTATTGTTTTTCCTCAACTCAGAAATTTAAAAACTAGTATAATGAATATACAACATTCATCTGATCCATGTAAACTTGCCTTTGCATTAACCAACTTAATCCCAATCACAAATGTATAATCGCGAGACCTTAAATTATTCAGCAATTAAGCAAATATTTACCAATACACAACGAACTTAGGCGATGTTGCTAACTAATTCTCGCTGGATAGTCCACTAAACAGACGTATCAGTGACTGTGAGGATTCATTGTGTTCTATGGTATCGGTCAGCATGAAGAAAATATTATAAATAAGAAACAGAAATCAGAAATTATGAAACATTTACGTAAAGCTACATATATGTATGTATGTATATACATATATATATATATATATATATATATATATATATATATATATATATATATATATATATATATATATATATATATATGTATATATATATATATATATATATATATATATATATATATATATATATATATATATATATATATATCTGTATCTGTGTGTGGATAATACTATTAAACGAAGCGTATACAGTAGCAAAAAAGCTACCGAGAAATCGTCCTCTTATTTGTCAAGATTTCTTTTGTTTTATCATTCCTTCATATTTCAAAACATCAATCAGCTAAAGAAAACATAAAATGGAATAGATTTTCCTAAAAACCTTAAACCATGAAAAAGAAAAAAAGTTCCTTGAATCTTGTGATAATAAAATCAAGAAAATGAGCTCTTGGTTGAACTAGGACTAAACCTCGAGAAGAGAGCTTAGCGGAACAGACCTTAAAAACCTCAAATCGTAAAAAAGAAAAAAAAAAATCCTTTAATCTCGTAACACTAATTCCTTTTCAAAAAAATATCTACAACGATGAAACCCCATCCCTATTTTCGACTAGCGACTCTCTCAGATCTCGGTTGAGCTAGGACCGAATCCCCCTGAAGACAACCTGAACAGAATAGACACAACGACCGAGGGCTTTTATACTTCATTATACGTCGGACGGACAAGTGCACCGTTTGAGAGCCCTTGTCTGCTGTCTGCTGAATCTCATGTGTTGTTGACTCAAGATGGGAGACGGGAAGGAGGGAGGCGGCGGCGGGACGAAATGTAATGTTATTTGTATAATTTGTTTTTCTTTTTCTTTGAGGATTTTTCTTTTCTTTTTCTTTTCTTTGAGGATTTTTTTATTTTCTTTTCTTTGAGGATTTTTTTTCTCTTTTTCTTTTCTTTTCTTCTTTTTCGTCTTATTCTTTTTATTTTATTTTATTTTATTTGAGGATTTTTTTCTTTCTTTTCTTTCTTCTTGTTCTTCTTCTTCTCGTTACTATCATTATTATTGTAATTACTATTATTATTATTATTATTATTATTATTATTATTATTATCATAAACACATTTTTTGTTTCTTATTTCTCTCCTTGTTCTTGTGCTTTTGTTTGTATCTGAGAAGGAAAGTCAGATAGAAAATCACAAGGAAAGTATATATTATCGAATATCTTCTCTCTTGTCAAGTGTCTTATCCGGAAGAATATCAAAAGTATTTTTCTTCATTTTTTTCATGTGACTGCTGAGTCATCTCTGGCACTCAGCACACGGATCCAGCATAAATTGTTGATTTCAGCATTACATCAATTATACTCCATTCATTCATTCTCCTTCAGCACCGACAGACATAAAAGCCTTTATCTATCAGACGTAAAACTTTTTTTGTTTATCTATAAGGCATGAAACCTTTTATCTATCGCAGCGCATAGATGCTACGGGCACATAGGACGTGGTATCTAGGAATCCAGCCTCTTTATCTCCCGCGGTCCTGACGTTTACTGACAATTACTGGCGTTTTCTGACATCGTCTGACATTTGTTGGCGGTTTCTATCGAGTTCCTGACGGCTTCTGATGTGTCCTCCTGTAGGTGTTGTAAGTTGTAGGGCATCGGAATCTCAAATGTTTCCCGTCCCTAAAGTTCCTGACGTGTTCCTGACGGCGTCGCGGAAAGAAGTGAGATCCTTTTAACACGCCAATCTAACGTATCCTGACCAGTTTCTGATCTCCTGACAATGCCCCCCAACGTTTATCGACGATTCCTGACGTTCCTCGGCGTTTCCTCCAGCAGACGCCGTAGCAAGGAACTCGAAAAACAAACACGCGCGACCCTAATATTTCCTGACGACTCCCTAAAAACCCCTCAAAGCTCCTGACGGCTCCTGACGCCTCCTTCCCAAAGCTCCTGACGTCTCCCTCTCACATCTCCTCCTGCAGACTCCTCCTACAGACGACCTTCTTGGAGGAGGAGGAGGAGGAGAGCCTACACGTAAGGCGCGGTACCGTTCCAGTTGACGTCCGCGCCCTGCCATCTGCGGAAAGGCCAGGCATTAGGGGAGATGTGCATAAAGGAGATGGATAAAGAGGAAGCGGAGGAGATGGATAAAGAGGAAGTGGAGGAGATGGATAACGGGGAATAAAGAGGAAGCGGAGGAGATGGATAAAGAGGAAACGGAGGAGTGGATAAAGAGGAAACGGAGGAGTGGATAAAGAGGAAACGGAGGAGTGGATAAAGAGGAAACGAGGACTGTGGACACAATAACAGCAGATAAAGACAGGCATAGCATGACGTAGACACTAACTGCAAATAACAGACACAAACAATACAACAATTGGACTGAAGGCAAAACAAACGACAAGACATTAAGAATGACGTAAAAGACGACAACAGAGATGAGAATAGCACAAGAAAACAATCGGACAGCGAAAAAAGGATTTGAAAATAATTAATATCAGATTTTCTTTGTCACATAAAAAAGGATATATTTAATTATATTAAAAAAGAAAGAAATTAATCAAGAAAGAAATTGTTATTCCTGATATTCCAATTATTTTTTCCTTCTTCACTATTTGAGTTATTCTTAGATAATTTTTTATTTATAACAATATTCATGTATATTTAATCATAACTTAAAAATATATATATTAAAAACACAGTAACGTGTTTACACCGCCAAGAGGGAATAGAACCAATGATACATTTTTTTTTTTTTTACGTCAGTCACCCCTCCTGGAGGATGCCGTAAAGATGTAAATAAAGTCTTACTAACACGCATCTTTACTTCCTTATTTCACTGTTCCACTTAATTGCATTCCCTCCTTTTTTACTCTACTTTCTACCCTCTAATTCATTATTCATTCCACTTAATGATTTTCCTACCGTCTTATCTTTACTATTTTCTATTCCACTTTCTTAACCCTGTCAATTTTCCACCTATTCATCCTGCTCTTCCACCCTCCTGTCTTTTTATTTTATTCTCATTCCATACTTCCACCTTTCCACTCTTCCACCCTCTTGTCTCACTCTTCCATTTTCCCACTTTCACATTGTTCCATCAATCCATTTTTCCATCCTTTCATCCACCTTCCTTTCCACCCTTTCATCCACCCACCCTTTCATCCTTTCATCCACCTAGCCTTCCACCCTTTCATCCACCCGCCCTTCCACCCTTTCATCCACCCATCCTTCCACCCTTTCATCCGTCTTCCTTTCCACCCTTTCATCCACCCACCATCCCACCCTCTCATCCACCCACCCTTCCACCCTCTCATCCACCCAGACTCCCACCCTCTCATCCACCCACCCTTCCACCCTCTCATCCACCCAGCCTTCCACCCTCTCATCCACCCAGCCTTCCACCCTCTCATCCACCCACCCTTCCACCCTCTCATCCACCCACCCTTCCACCCTCTCATCCACCCACCCTCCCACCCTTCCATCCACCCTTTTCAGACAATTACTTTGTGTGGACGAGGTTTTCAAGTGGAGGAGCGTGGAATTCGTCCTTCATCGTCTGGCTCCGCGTATCAATAGTGACGATAGTTGCATCCACCTGGCTAGCGTGACTTGAGTAATAGTGAAGATCGAACCTGTTGAGAAAATTATGGTGAGTGAGCAGTTGACAAAGTTATGGTGAGTGAGCAGTTTGAGAAAGTTATGGTGAATGAGCAGTTTGAGAAAGTTATGGTGAGTGAGCAGTTGAGAAAGTTAGGGTGAGTGAGCAGTTTGAGAAAGTTATGGTGAGTGAGCAGTTTGAGAAAGTTATGGTGAGTGAGCAGTTGAGAAAGTTAGGGTGAGTGAGCAGTTGAGAAAGTTATGGTGAGAGAAATTTTGATGGTGTAACTCCTGAGAGGGGTATATGGTGAATGGGAGGCTGAGAGTTAGTGATGGTGACTGAAGTTTAAGTGGTGTCATTATTAAGAGAAGTTATGGTGAGTGAGAGTCAGTGATAGTGACGGAAATCTAGATGATGAGGGTATGGTGAGTGAGAGATTGAAACTTGGTGATATTGAAAGAAATCTAAATGGTTTAAACTGTGAAGGTTGAGTCTGTTGGGAGAGGTTATAGTGAGTAAGACGTTGGGATTGTAGTGACAAAAAATTGGACGGTGTAATAACTATTCAGAGAAATTATAGTGAGAAAGAAAGCTAGTGATGATGGCTGAGAATTAGTGATAGTGACAGAAATATAGATGGTACAATAGTGAAGGTAAAATCTATTTAGAGATTTTATGGTGAGTGAGTGCTTGAAAGTAAGTTATAGTGACAGAAATCTACAGAGACAATATATGGTTGATAAGAGATTGAGAATTATAGTGACAAATATATATGGAGTAATAACTATTAAGATCTACTGAAAGAAGATATGATGAATGAGTTGCCGAAGGTACGTGATTGTGAAAGATTGATGGTGATTGAAGTAATAGTGAAGGTCGAAGAGACAGTGATTTAAATGGGTGTTGATAGTGAATGATGGTGTCTAAACTAATCGTGAATGCCGTTAAAAATATTGATGATTAAGAATGACACGAGAGAGAGAGAAAATAAATAAAGTAGGATGGCAGATATGGTGATAGATAATGTGATAGAAGATGAACAGAGTAAGAGAGAAGGTGAGCTTCCTCAAGGAGAAACATTGTGTTTGCGTAGCTACTAACAGTGACATGTAGCTACTAACAGTGACATGTAGCTACTAACAGTGACAACAAAAATAATGTTAAATGTACTGATAGTGAAAGCCATAATTAATTTTATCACATGGTTGATAGTGAGCTAAAAAGTCATAGTGACTAGATTAGCAAAGAAGGTCGGAGTTGTTACAAATATGGTGTTTCTGAATAATAGACACAAAATGTTTTAAAGGCAATATGTTTTTTAATATGGTGATTTGGTGCTTATGATGGTCATAGGAAATGGGGATGACAATAAAAGTGAAACGTTAATAAGTGATTATGACAATTATGACGGTAAATGAATATGACACAAATATATTTCATTTTGTACGAACGAAAATTTAAGAAAATATTTAATACAGGATATAGTCTAGACAATACAACGTTGTTTTATATTGTTATGCTTAGCTTCGTGACATTTCTACCTGACAAAAAAAAAACGGCTTTTTCTGATTTTCCGCTAACTTGACAAAACTTTAATTTCACCAGATTTAGCGGACTTCAACAAAATTAAAGGGAGATAAGAAATCATATATTTATGCTTATATATATACATATATATATATATATATATATATATATATATATATATATATATATATATATATATAATAATAATAATTATTATTATTATTATTATTATTATTATTATTATTATAATAATAACAGTACTAATAATGATAATAATAAGAAGAAGAACAATAATAATAACAACAATAACAATAGAAACAACAATAACACCAATAATAAATAAATAAACAAACAAACGAATCAAAAACATAAAAAAAAAGAAAAAAAGAATCCCCCCCTCCCCCTCACCTGTTCTCCGCGTGGTAGTCCCTCGTCAGCTCTCGATTCGGGTTGAAGAGAATGCCATAGTGCTCGTTGCAGCGCGTGACCCAGACCGGAAGCGAGGGGGTCTTGAGCCGCGACCCGACGGGCACCTCCCCCCCTTCCTCCTCCCGACGCCACACCAGGTACCCGACTTCCCCTCGGGTGATGAGGCCGGTTTTGGGTTTGCCCTGGAGGGTTTTAAAGGGGAGGGGGGTGGGTGAGTTGGGTGGTAGGGGAAGGGGAGGGGGATGGGAGGGGGAGAGAGTGGGTTGTTGGGGATGGGGTGATAGGAGGGGGTAGGGAGGAAGGAAGGGGAGTGAGGGGGTGGGTGGGTGAGTTGGGTGGTATGGGAAGGGGAAGGGGTGGGGAGGGGGGAAGAGAGTGGGTTTTGGAGGGGGGGGGGATGATAGAGGGTAGGGAGGAAGGAAGGGGAGAGAGGGGGTGGGTGAGTTGGGTGGCATGAGTAAGGGAGGGGAAGGAGAGGAGTAGGGGAGGAGAGAGAGGGATGAGGAGGGAAAGGGAGAGAGTGAGAGAGGGGAGAGGAGATAGTGTGATGGGAGGGGGTAGGGGAAGGAAAAGATAAATGGAGGAAGAAGACGAAAGAAAGGTGGGATGAAGGAAAAGGGATGGAGAGGAGTGAGAGAGAAGGAGGAGAGAAAGGGAGACAGGAATGAGGGGGAAATGGTAGGAATGGTAGGAAGAGGAAAGGAGACGAGAATAAGGAAAGGGAAGAGAAGAAGAAAGGAGTAAGAAGTATGAAAAAAAATGGAAAGGAGGGGAGGGGGGTTGGATGTGAGGGAAGGGTATCATATGTTGTAGTTATTATTGTCTTTTCTCTGCCCTCCATGTGTAAAGTGAGCGTTATATTGTGGAACAGGAAAGGAGGTTCATTGTTTCACATTATAAGTGTGTCAATTCGTATTTGAATGTATGTCTTTACCTTAACAAAATAAACACACACACACACACACATACACACACACACATACACACACACACACACACACACACACACACACACACACACACACACACATACACATACACATACACATACATGTATGTATGTGTATATAAATATAAATATATATATATATATATATA